AAGCTTAAAGTCCTGTCCACCAAGCAATTCAGCAGGACTGCTTTGATCGGGTTGAACAAAACGGCTGTAAGGACAATGGTGGAAAGAAGATCCACGACAGCCTGTGGCTCGGGAATGTGCTGCTGTGGTTGCTGAGAATGTCCTGCAATTAAGCCATTTTCCAATTTCGCTCCCGGCGTTGTTTTAGTATTTTTGGTTTTTCTTTACTATTTAAAGCTTTCGTAAAAAAAATACTACTAGGAACATTGCTATGTACTGCAAGTTCTGGACTCAAGGTTTTGCTTCCAAGTGTTGGTCATGATTTGTGCCCAGGCTACGACGTCGACAAGAAAAAGCTCGGCGAAGGATCATATGGAACGGTCTCCATTTGCACCAACAAGGTGCGGACATGACAGATGAGAGATACCATGCGTGCGGTTGCATGTGCGGTAAGGCCGGGTTTCTAGCAGAATTGTTTGACTTCATAATTGAAGGAAGGAGGTTTGTACGGAGATGAGTGTCCTACCCGAGCTTAGCCATTCTTTTCTTGATGTGCAAGAAAGCTTCCTATCGTGACTTCTAAAGCAAGTCGCCAAAGTCACAAAAATCAGACTTATGTTTCCAGGCAACAAAGCAGAAGAGGCGCGAGAGGGACTATTGCCACACGTTACCACATGGCTGGCAGCATGGTTTGAAAAAGGCACAACGTGTGGGACTTCTGTATGCTGCTTGCTACTGGCTTGCAGGGCTGTGAAAGCCCTCAGCAAGACGCAGATGAAGAATATCGAGCCATTCGGCAGGAAGTTGGGACAGGGATTGCAATGTCCACCAGGGAAGTGCAATCGGAGTTTGTACTGTGACAACTGTGCCACTTAGGAAGTTCAAAGAAGAGATCAGGATCATGCAGATGATGGACTGGAAGGGAGGGAGGGGACATGGCTCAAAACACCAAGCGCTTGGTTGGGAGTTGAGTGATGTTGACGGAGTTTTGACGCACAAAGCGCTTAACGGCATTCAATGGTACTGGTGTTTTCAGGGCACTCCTGCGATGCTTGGCAGCTTTCTCATGATCATAAGTCGTCTCATGTTCGCTCCTGTGCCGGTCCTCCAAACTGACGACTGATGCCTCAGTAGACGATGCTGAGTCAAATATGCGGAGGTTGTTCAGCACCCACCCACAGCTTTGATTAAACTATTCAATCTGGCTTTCCGTCATGCTATAGCTGTTGTATGAGGAGTCCGTGCTTTCAGGTTTTTTTTGTTGCAGGAGCCTGAACATTTCGCATGAGCGGGATGCTGGTTGCAGAGTGCTGCGCAGCCAAAAAGAACACTGTTCGCATGGCACGGAGGGTTGCTGTCATCCCCAGTTGCTCCAGAATGCCATCGAGTGAGACCCCAAGCACTTTGTAATGGTGGATTGGACAGGGTTTCTTCCAAGCTCCTGCTGTTTAAAACCAAAAGAAGCAATGTGGACAAATCGAGTCACGTCACCCACTTGTGGGTGGGAGTTAACTGCAGGCTTCACCTACCGACAGTTCGTCGTAAACGGGCTACCAGAAGAAAAGAAGTCTAAGAGATGAAAGGTCCTAGTAGATCCCTTTGCTAGTAATTACAATTCTAATTAAATTCATATTGTTACTAGTAGTAAGGCACTTGTTTCTAGTAGCTTCTTGTTACTACTAGTAAGGCACTTGTTACTACTAGCGTGGCACTTGTTACTACCAGAAGAAAAGAAGTCTAAGAGATGAAAGAGTAGGGCAAGGGTATGGAACCCACGTTGAATTGAAAGGGGCCATACCCCAGCCTCACCTTCCCCTTTTTCTGATCTCTTAGACCCTTTTGTATTTTGTAAAATATGACCTTGGCACGTTTTTGCAGCTTCACATTTGGCAGCACTTGGCTCACAGCTCACAAACTCGCGTGGGCGCAAGTTGGAGGACACTGATCATGCTCAGAAGTGTTTGGAGATGCACGGCTATTCGTGGCAGGAAGCTGTCAGAGGTTCAAGAATTAATGTACAGTACGGTGTACGCCATCCTTATCGCAGCTGATGTAGGTGTAGTTGCTCAAGAATTCAAGAATTGCCAGCATGCTTCGCACGAGTTGTCAAATTGTCAACTGTAGGTAGGGGGTCAGTTTGGTATGTAGGACTAGAGTTTGCATAATTTCCTGGTTTTCAAGCGGCTTTTGAAGGATGGTGGAAGAGTGCACCACTGGCAATTGAGGGTCGTCCACTCAAGCCTGTTGAGCCTGGAATTTTATGAATAGACAGATTTGCGATTGATGGAATAAAGAAATACATATATTCTATACCGGTGGCTCAGCACATAGAATATTCGACTTTAATGAGTATGCAGTTAGAATACCCTTATTTTT